ATTATTCATTCCTACATGAGCAAATATGATGTATAGCTCAAATAAATTATGGCTAAAATGGCTACTCATCACCCTCGTGTTTTTTACTACCAAGTAGAGAGCAAGAACCAACTAATAGATTTTCATCTTCCTCTTAGGTTCTGTGCACCTCATTAATCATTTTAACTTATGGCTAAGCTAACTAGTTTGCAACTCAGTAACATTTTAGCTTTTAGCTAAATTGTGCATTATAACTAACTAGCTTGATTTAGCTTGTCTCGGTGTACTTGCTTACTGTATCCATAACATTTTTTATTAAACACTTTAAAGTTATCGGAAAATCTTATCTTATTCAACCTATTCACAGCTATACGTGTCTTTAAACACTAGTATAGATCTTTTTCCGTTGACTATCGGGAGAATTGACATAGCTAGACTAGTCAATTTTTGTCTATTGTATTAAATACACAAACCAGTCACTCATACAAAATTAAAAACATCACATTAAATCAACTATATTGTAAAATTAAATTACTATGCACATTAAGTAATATTATAATCTCAATTAAAAGTAAGCACTTATATAAATAATATTGAACTCCCATAAATAGTATTATACCACATGATTAATTATATCACATAACTAATCTAAGAAATAATAATATTCAGGAGAAGACTTTGCTTTCTCAAAACTTTGTGCCTCATTCTCCAATAAACATGCTAGAAAATCAGGACCAAAAGATGTAGACGTTCTAGCCCACAAGAAAATGATATGCACTTATGTTATGAGCATAACCTATAAAAGGTTTTATGTAACGATCCACTCCACCACATAGTATGATATTGTCTGCTTTGGGATCGAGCCCGTACGATTTTGTTATTGGGTTTTATCTCAAAAGACCTCATACCAATTGGAGATAACACCACTACATAAAATCACATACCATGTTCTGAATAAATATCAACAAATGATAATTCGTATTCACGAACTCTATCATTTCTTAACACCTTGTCAAGTTGATTTTCAACCTCATTTTTGTAATGTTTAAACATTTCTAAGGCTTTATCTTTGCTTCGTAACAGATATAGATAACATCATCTTGTGCAATCATTGATAAAAAAAAATGAAATACCTTTTCCTAACTCTAGTGGGCACAAATTTAAAATAATATAATATACTACATAATATTATATTACAAAATTAAAATAATTCAATCAATACTGAATTATATAAATAATTCAATAATTTACTAATATAACATGCTTCAATTTCACATAATATTGAACACATCAATATTTAGCATATTATCATATAATAATATACATAACATTATTTTATTATATCTCATTTATTGTATAATATCTACTTGTTTATATCTTAAATAAAAGCATATAATAAAACATACGCAATGAGTGAGTCTGTCTTAAGATTGTTGGTAAATATATGTTTCATGTGACATTTAAGATATAACAACCCTTATACTAATATGCTATGAGATAATTAACAATATGCTAAGAAATGATTAATTAAATATAAATATGTAAAATAAAATAATAAAATAATAAATAATAAATAAAGAACTTGGACCGAGGCTAGTATTGGATACTATATCCTTAAGACAGATTCGCCCCGCTATGGTACTAACGGACTCAGTGGCGTCTATCTTCCAGGATACAACGGTCTACATCCACCAGTAGCAGCATTACAAACTCGTGGATACGGCGAACCTTCTCTGTGTAATACTCTCTCTGACTCAAAAATGCATCTATACTATATAAATGCTAAATTGGATGCAATCCAAACCAAATGATTCGGACCAATCTTAATATGGCTCGATGAAATTGGATTAGAGTCTAAGTGGTTCAAACCACTTAACCTATGGTTTGAACCCACTTGGGTTGGGTTCAAGTCTAGAGAGGGAAATAAAAGAAAATGAAAAATGAATCACTTGCAAATAATCCAAAGGGGGGTATTTATAGAAACAGAAATGCCTTTTTGGATTGGGTGTATCTCTTTATTATTGGAATAGGTTGCAATGGTTCACATGGTGTCTGTTCACCACTAGACACATCTATTCCAATAGGTTGCAATGGTTCACATGGTGTCTATTCACCAATAGATACATTCATTCCAATAGGTTGCAATGTGCTTTAACGAGTGGGTGCAACCATGAGTTATGACGGTTCGAAAAAAGGTGTAACCCTTTAAAAAAAAAAAACTAAAAAGTGGTTTTTTAATTTAAAAGATATAACCCTTTAGAAAAACTAAAATATGTCTTTTTTAATTTAAAAGGTGTAACTTTTTAGAAAAATTAAAAAGTAGTTTTTTAATTCAAAAAACCCCACTCATTTGTGAAACGCATTTAAATAAGCCCAGCCCAAAATTAGGCCCAATCCAAAATTCCAAAAAAGAATAATCTGGACTTTACAATTAAGCCCAAGCCCAAGCCCAAATCCTAAACTCAGCTTATTTAAATTTTAATTTGTTTCAACATTTTTTCTATGTGGGACAAACACTTCTCACATTTTGCATACCCATTTAGGCTTATCAAAACACCATACTTTGGAGCTAATTTCTCATTCACCCGGAAATGGATTTAAGAAAGTAAATATACCACGTTCATCTCCTTGCGGAGAGAAACACGCTCGTCTAGAGATCCGCAAAAAATTCTTAGCGGAATCTATTCCAAATCTCATCCAAAGTTTATGTTTTTAATGCCCCCGTTTCCAACAAGTGTGTCATCTCCAATTGGTATGAGACATTTTGAGGTAAAACCCAAGAGCAAAACCATGCGGGCTCAGGCCCAAATCGGACAATATCATACCATGTGGTGGAGTGGGTCGTTACAAATAGTATCATAGCCTAACCCAGCCGGAAGTGGGCCGACGGGGACATCGGGCCTCCAAAGGAGGTGGATTGTGATGACCCTGTGGACGGGTGCGTCATGGGCGGGTGAGAGAGATACTGTCAGGCTACCACACTGGCGAGTTACGGGTGTACAATCTCACATCGCCTAGGAAAGGGAAAGGTGAAGTGTTTATATGTAAGTGTATCATCTTCAATTGGTATGAGGCCTTTTAAGGTGAAACCCAAAAGCAAAACCGTACGGGCTCAGACCTAAAACGAACAATATCATATCATGTGGTGGAGTGGGTCGTTACAGAAATAATCAAGTTTATAAATAAAAAAAAATAAAATAATAAAAATGAAAACAATACTCTCAAACTAACAGACTAAAAAAAAAAAAAAAGGGACTAATCATAATTTATCAAGGGAAAGAGAAAAGAAGAATCCACGAATACAGAGGGAAAAAGCACACAGAAAGGAAGACCGAGAGGAAAAATACGACGTATTAATTTGAGTTCACACACCTGTAAAGGCGACATTGAAAGCAACTCTTTAAGATCAGATTAGAAGGAAAGGGCATTTTTGGACCAATTTTATATGCAGTGTGATAAAAAATAAAAATAAAAATAAAAATAAAATCTTATTTAAACCTTCAAATAGTATGAGAGTGAGCTCTGTGAGAGGCAAATGCTAACAAAGACTTGTAGGTCCTACCATGTCTCGAACAACCCTTCTTGTTTTTTTTTTTGGGTTTTGTTTCGTTCTATACGGAACCTTGCCTTCATAGCATCATTTCACAGTCCAATATGTTCTTTAATCCGATTAGCCCAACTTATCCGGATTAAACAAAAGGATAATAATTTTTAGACCTAATGGTCTAATTGAGAAGGTTAAGAAAGAAATTTCTATCTTGAATGCATTGAATAAAAAATTCTCGACTGCCTCTTATTAGATAAAGGTGGAGTCATGAATTCAACATCAGTAAACAGTTTAAACTAATGTAATGGTGGCATTCTCGGCACCATCATGGCAAACAAACTCCAGCACACCAAATTATTTGTGACACTTTTTTCAGTCCAATAAGTTTTTACTATTACTCAATACGTACTTCAAAAAACAAAAAACAAAAAGATGAAAAAACAAAAACTAACAGAGTTAAAGAACAGGAATAATCATAATAATCACAGAAAAGAAAAAGGAAGAAACCTGGAAGCTCCCAACGAGAGGGAAAATACAGTGTATTAATTTCAGTTCACACACCTGTAAAAACTTTACAACATTGAAATCAACTTTTTAAGGGAAGCTTAGCAGGAAAAGGAATTTTGGGACCCAATTTTTGATGACTTGAGGTTGACTTGACTTCAACTTTATTGATTCTAAAATATCCACCAAAGAAGCAAAACAGAGCTCATACTTACTCATCCTTCAGAAAAAAAAATGGCAGAGTTTGTTGTTTCCGTTGTTTTGGAGAGGCTTCAGGGCTTGGCAAGTGAAGAAGCAAGCTTGTTACATGGAGTAAGCTCTCAAGTTGAGCAACTCCGAGACGAGTTCCAGAGAATGCAATGCTTCCTAAAAGATGCAGATGCAAGAGAAAGCGAAAGCAAGACAATCCACAACTGGGTTGTGGAGATCAAAGAAATTGCTTACGATTCTGAAGATATTATCGAAACCTATGTAATCAGAGTTGCTTCAAGGAGGAGTATGCAAAGCTTTCTCAAAAGATGTGTTTGTATCTTGAATGAAGGTAAAGCCCTTCACAAGGTTGGATCGGAGATACAGAGTATCAAAACCAGAATTTCTCAACTCACCACGAGTTTACAAACTTATGGTATTAGAGCCATAACAGAAGGGGAAGGATCATCAAGTTCTGCATACGGGAGGCAACAGCGCGTGCTAAGGCGGTCTTATTCCCATGTTGTGGAAAAGGATTTCGTGGGATTGGAGGAAGATGTAGAGGAATTGGTGGGGCTTTTGGTGAGTGAAGATAAAGAGAATTACTATCGAACTTTGTCAATTTGTGGTATGGGTGGTTTGGGGAAGACCACTATTGCTCAGAAGGTTTACAATGACCAGAATGTTAAGCGTCATTTCGATGGCTTTGCTTGGGTTTGTGTATCTCAGCAATGACAAACCAAAGATATTTTGCAAGGGATACTTACGAAGCTTATCCCACATGAAAGGGATCGAATTGTGTTTATGAGAGAGGAAGATCTTGTGAGGATGCTAGTTCAAGTCCACCAGAGTAGGAAGTGTTTGGTGGTTCTTGATGACATTTGGTCAGAGGCTGCTTGGGACTGCATAAGGCATGCCTTTCCTACTGGAGGAGATATGGGTGGCAAAATATTGATCACTACGCGTAATCAAGAAGTGGCCTTGCATGTGGATCCACATGTTTACCTCCATGAGCCACGATTGTTGACTGAAGATGAAAGTTGGGAACTACTTCAGAAGAAAGCATTCACAAAACCAGATGGCGCAGGTAGTTTATTATGATTTTAGTTTCTCACCCTTGGTCTGATGTTTAGTGTGGTTCTAACCAAGATATATCTCCCTGTCCTTAACTAACTCATTGCCAACTCAATTTAATATACCATTACTTGAAATCTATTACATGAATCCTGATTTTTCATTTTATCCTAATGTAATAATCTTTAATTTTAGATAAATAACTTGTCAATCTATAATAACCTTACAGTAACATTCTAATGTGATTGGGTTAATAAGGTCTTGTGGAGATTGTTGGACAATCTCTTGTGGAGATAAGTTTATATATTGTTTTGGTGGTGGTTGCATGTGGTTTTTGATGACAAGCTTGTTTTTAGCCATATTGACGTCCTCAAAGGTTCATATCCTGCTCCATAAAGGAGGTTTTGGGTTCATCATAAAAGCATTGAAGGATCATATTGACTATAGTAGCAAGCTAGTTCTTACAGTCTGATTGTTCTTATTCTAGTTGTTAAATGAAGTTGCATATTTTTAAGTTCTGTTAATTTAGGCACTTTTGACCAAGAAATCCAAATTATCGCACTAAAAGACGTAATCCATCTTCTGAACTATAGCACATTCACTCTATTTTTGTTTATTGATTGCTAATCTTGTTTGTTTTCCCTTTGTTGTTGGCCTTCTTAGGCTTTGAATGTTTGTTCAAATCCATCATACTGAAGAAATGTTTCCTTTTTCTTTGCTCTACAGAGCCTAGAGATGACAAAAACATGGAGGATTTGGGGAGGGAAATGGTTAAACATTGTGGAGGTCTGCCATTGGCTGTAATTGTGCTTGGCGGAATTTTGGTAACAAAACAGACATTAAGGGACTGGGAGATGGTGCATCGCAATATTAGTTCATATATAAGGAAGGGAAAAGGCATGAGGCAACAACATGGAGTATCACAGGTGTTAGCTTTAAGTTACAGTGACTTACCATATCAGTTGAAGTCGTGTTTTCTATATCTAGGCAATTTCCCAGAGGATTCTGAAATTGAAGCCGATAAATTATATCAATTGTGGATTGCTGAAGGTCTGGTATCATTGGATGACCGAGCAGAAGGAGAAACAATGATGGATGTTGCAGAGCGCTGTCTAGTTGAACTAGCATACAGATACATGGTTCAGGTGGAAGTAGATGAGTTCAGTGGAAGGTTTAAATCTTGCAGCCTTCATGACCTGATGAGGGATCTGTGCTTGTTAAAGGGAAAAGAACAAAATTTCTTAATGGTCGTTGATTTTCGGCATGGAAGCGAGAAGCTTGTGGATTATTCCTCTTACTACTCTTCATTGGACAGTAAAGTACGCAGACTAGCCATCCATTTGGGTGAAGATGGTTTCCCCAAGATTAGAACAGCTCAGCACCTTCGGTCCCTTTCATTCTTTGTTCCATCCAAATATATTTGCATACCTATGCCGAAGAATTTCCATTTCAAAGGCTTCAAAGTGTTGAGAGTTCTAGATCTTGGCGGAATCCAGTTCTCTAAGAAGTTAGCCAGAGCAGTTGGAAAGCTAATTCATCTCAGGTACTTGAGTTTAAGAAATTCTGGGTTCAGAAAGTTGCCTTCATCTATAGGCAACTTAGGGTTCTTGCAAACCTTAGATTTAAGGTTGCATGAACAATTAGGAGTATCTGGAACAATACCAAATGTCCTGTGGAAGATGAAAAGCTTGAGACATCTATATCTTAATGATCTTGTAAAAACAAAAGAAATATTGAGATTGGATGGTTTGAGCAAGCTGGAGTTACTGGAAACCTTCACTACACATCTGTTTGATCTTAAAGACCTCTTCATGCTTACCAACCTTTGGAAACTAAATGCACGTGTCCAGGTAGAAGTACTTGAAGACTTGGTGGCCATCATCAACTACCTAAACATCAGGGCAAACCGACTCCAGCACTCGTCATTTTACATTGGATACAACTTTTGTTCCGAAGAAGAGGTAAATCTTTTGAGACAATTGCTAGAGTGCCGTCGCCTTAATGCATTGCATATAGGAGGTGTTATAGGTAAGTTACCCGAACACCATCATTTCTCTCCAAACCTCACTATGTTAGAATTCAGTAGATCTGAGCTCAAGGAGGACCCAATGGCAACACTGGAGAAGCTTCCTAACTTAAGAAGGCTTGCCTTGGGTTCTAATGCCTTCGTGGGAGTGAAAATGGTTTGCTCTAAGTTGGGTTTCCCTCAACTCAAATTTCTAAAACTCAAAGAACTATCCAACTTGGAGGAATGGATGGTGGATGAAGGATCAATGCCCAATCTTTCTTCTTTAGAAATTGGTTGTGAGAGATTGAAGATGGTTCCAGATGGATTGAGATTCATATCTACCCTTCAGGAATTGAAGATTTCGATCTCGTCAGAAGATTTTCAAAGACGACTTCGAGTGGTACATGGGGAAGAAGGAGCTGATCTCTACAAAGTTCAACATGTCCCTTCCATCATATTTAATCCATTGATTCACTGGTTATGAGCTTTGGTGGTGGTTGGTGATGAAGATGAGAAATGGGTTTGCTATTTTGCATTGGAACTTTTTTGTTTTTCATTTCACTGTGTTGACTTCCTGGTTTGAAAAATGTAGCTATATATATATATAATGAAGGAACCAAAAGACAAGAAAAAGTGAGCGAAATATTTGTTTTTTGTTTTTTGTTTGTTTTTTTAGTTTTTAAAGAAAATCAAAGCACTGGGCACTGTAAGTAAAGACCAACAGTGGAACACATAACAACAGTGCTTAAAAACTGGACGAAAATGAAACCATAGGTCAAAAAACAAGATTTAAATCATCATTCCACAGAATCTCGAACTCAAACCGGCGACGGTGCTATTTGGAAGAGCATATTTTGGGGTATTATCATTGCATATATGTACGCTATACAAAAATATTTTTCCTACAATCACTTTACTAAAATTGTATAGTAAAAATTTCAAAAAAAAAAAATTATATAGTGATAAAATACGGTCGAACTCATACTCAAGTTGAGACTTCGTATTAAAACTTAGATTCAAATTGTTATTTATAAAGAAAAAAAGGATATTAAAACATTGTTTGAATTTTAAAAACTAATCGACTGAAATTAAAACATCTTAATAAAACATGACATTAAGAAAGCATGTAAATTAAAGATAAAAAAAGCATAATGCATTAATTGAAAGAGAATGCAGAAAATAAATACACAGGCATCGAGCTAGGCTTGCTCCTCAGATCAGCTCTCTATAGGATCAACTATCGCTACTGTTAACTCTCAATGGATATATATATATACACACAAAACACATTAAAGCTTTCTCTCTCTCCCAAAAAAATACAAAGCTTTAATGTTGATGCCCAAACTCGGAGCTTGGATCTCTTAGAAGATTATACCATCTGTGCTAAGAAACTTCTTGTGTTCTCCTTTGGTTATAAATAAATATAACCTTTTGCGCTGCAAATAAATATAACCTTTTGTGGTGCAGCTTCAGTTTCTTCACTTGATCTTCATTTTTGATTGTTTTCTTCGCATTCTCTTATTATTACAAATAAACATAAAATCTATACATAATATAAATGCTAACAAAATATATATTTTGAGTATATAAAATAATGGTTTGTGTGCCCTTATCATGCAGACAAACTCTTCTGTAAAATTACACATTTCTTGCTTTTCGAGCTTGATCCTCTAGTTCTTATTTTCTTTTTCTTTTCAGAAATATATCTGAAAATGGGAGAAAAGTAATTAAAATCTGTTTATCTTCTCTTTTTGCAACGCATGACCTCAGTGGTGATCTAATTTATAGTAGTAGTGATCGATTTACTCTATAATTCTCAAGTTACTTGGAACTTGATGTTTGATGTTTCATGCACTTATAAACCAAAGTTACTTTGCATATTTCAAATTGAAAAATAATGTTAACAATAATGGTAGATACATATCGTTATGTGTTGTTATAATGACTTTGAACATTTTACTAGTCTATGTCAAGTTTCCCTACTTTTAGAAAAAATTTAAAATTGTGCATCAATTCTTAACCATTTTTTTTCAAGTGACTCTTACTTTTGGAACATAAGTTCATTATAAGTTTTCTAATTTAATCTATACTCTCTCCAATTTATGTGTGGATCATTTTAAACAAATATAATATAATATATATTGAACAACATATTTTATTAAACATTTTTTTTATTCATGTAAATTTGTTTTACTTAATAACTAAAGTTATGAATCTAATTAACATATTTGATTTAAAAACATAAATTCTCGAATTTAACTTTGTTTCAAATTATGAAACAAAAATACCATTATAATAGCGAAAAACATGAAGTTATCCAAAACATAGTTTTTTTTTCCCCACATAAACCTTATTTTTGTCCAAAAAAGAAAAGATTTTCATATCATACTGGTTAGAATTTCAAATATTTTTAGGGTTAATTTCACTTAGACCCCCTGAGGTTGGCGCTTATTTCACCTAGATGGAGATTTGATTTGTAGCGACCAGTTGGACCCCAATTAGTGGCTTAACATTTCACTTACACCCCAAATGTCAATTTTTGGTATTAAATGACTATGTTACCCTTTGACCTAATATTGACTATTTTTTGTGACTAAACTGCCCCCAAAGCACATTTCCTTCTCTTCCTCCTCTCATGCAATCTTCCCAATTAACCCTCAATATGATCAGCCCCGGCTTCAGCCCTTCTCTCTTATCACTGTCGTCAGATTCCGGCAATGGATTCTGATTTACAGGCGAAGTTCGGGTATCATTTTGACATGGTTTTTTCAACGAAAATCCGCATAACGACGGATTATTGAGAAACGCCGTCAGACCTTGATTCGCAAACGAACCAGTCTGAGGAATTTCGCCGCTCAAATTTTTGTTTCGGAGATCAAAACTCACTGTCATCGGCAAATTTCCCAATTTCAACCCACCAGTCACCACCACCGTCAACAATCATCCCCAAATGAACCAGTCACCACCCCATCACTGAGTTCGAAATCCGCAACCTTCAAATCACCTTTGTCATCGACGAGGAGGTTGTCCGGCATCAGATCGCGGCGACAAGTTGGTTCGGCCGTGGATGACTAGCGGCGGCTCAGATGACAGCGACTGCGTGCTCGGGCGGTGGCTATGGATGAACTGCGGCTGTGCACGGGTGAGTCTGACAGGTGAATGGGATGGATTCGGGCTCGCCGTCGAGCTCGCCGCCACCATCATCCGAAGCCACAAGCTTGCCATCATACGGACGGTCCCTGAGCCTGAGCTTGCTGCAACGCAAGAACTTCTCGATGGAGATAATCAATAGCATATCGCCGGAGGACCTCCAACCGACGGTCAAGATCTGTATCGACAGTCACCAATCACCGTCGATCGCGGTAAAGAGGACCTCCAACACGCCGTAACTGTAATGTTGTGATATATATGTATATATATATAATTAATGTTAAAAGAAATAAGGCAAGTGGGCCCCACCCATGTTATAAACACACAAAAGGCCATAAGGCCATTACACGAGTCCACCTTTCTCTCCCTCTCTTGCTGTAACCAGACTGCTCTCGGCAGTTTCCATTTTTTTTTTCTTTTTGCAACTTTAAACCTTGATCTTGCTTTTTCCTTTGGGAATTTGGTAGAACATTGTGAAGCAAAGTTGTTGAGCTCTTCGAGGCCGTTAATTTGATAGGAGCCAATCATCATTTGGTGCACTCTAGAGAGTTCAAAATTCTAGGGTTCTTGGGCTCAAATTGGGGGTTTTCATCAATATAAGGTAGGGGTGTTCTAATCTACAATTTCTTGGCCTTTGGTGAATTTTTCCCCTTAAATTTGATTCTAAGCATGCTAAATTTTAATTACTTAGCTTGTTGTTGTTGTAGTTCTTTGTAATTACAATGATAATTGTGTTCCTTGTGTTATTTGAGTTCATATACATGTCCATTTTCATTACGGTAAATGAGCATGCTTAGTGTTTGATGTGTTGTATGTTCCATTTGATGTGTTGTATGTTCCATGATTATTTATTTATTTATTGTCTTGAAGAAAAATGGATGCTATGGTTATAAATAAATAAAGGAAAGGAATGTTTATAAATTTTCATTAAATTGTGATGATGATGTAAATGGAAATGTGTGAAGACATATAGTTAAATTAATGATTTGAAGTATGAAGCATTCATGCATCCATTGGGAAAGAGAAAGGGGGGAAAATAATTGTTAGAACAAATAAAATTGTTTTGGGGAAAATATTTTCTAAAAGTGTTGCGAAAACCGGACGCCTAGGAGGCGCCTAGTGGTCTATGATGTTGGTGTAGTCTAGAAGGGAATGTAGTTGAGTTAACTAGGCCGGATGCGACGCCTTGGAGGTGCCTTGTGGTCGTGAATAGTTAACCAACCTTCCTTTCGTGACGCCATGGAGGTGCCTTGGGTCGGACTACACTAACGGTTTAGTTGTTGAAACGGAATTGTTTCGAAAATGGGGAGTGACATTTGCATAACATTGCACTTCATGACATCGTGGTAAATTTGTGATTGGTTGATATTTGTTATATACTTGTTATTGTGGTTGAGAATGTGCATTTCCTGATAGCATGATCCCGTTCACTTTTTATCTATTCATTGCATGGATTCACGGAGACATAAGAAGTGTGTCTTAGACACTTCCTACTGAGCTTATGCTCACCCCCTTATTTTTAACATTTTTTTCAGGATATGGAAAAGAGGTGGCAGACGACGGTCCACCACAGGTTTAGATGAGCTTGAAGACCCATTCTATTTTGTTATCTTTTGTATTAGACTCAAATATTTTGTAAATGTAATATTAACTACCTTGTGACACTTTAGTTTAATTAGTATAATGTTGTAAGTTATGTACTTTTAATTCTAGCTACATTTTATGGACTGTAATTTGATGTAACTTAAGTGGGTTCCATGTTTGGATGAGATGGAGGAACGGGACTTTTATATGTATGTAACCATTTTGGGAATGTAGTATAATATTTGAATTGTGCGTTGGGACATGATAAGTTAGATTTAAGGCTCAGTGAGACCATTGCATTTATTTTTTTGTATTTCTACAGGTTGTTGAGGGACATTTTCTGCGGAAGTCATGCCGAAATTTTTATAGATTTTTATTATTATTTTGGTATTTATTCGAGTCGTTACAGTAACTACTCTCCTCAAGAAGATGTCGATTGGCGCGTGTGGCGCAATTCCGGCGAGGGGGTGCTGAGCTTGTCTTTGCCACGGTTTGAGTCCGATTCCGGTTCGGATTCGTCTCCGGTGGGGTTTGTTGGGTCTAGCGGGTCTTGGTGGCAGCCATCCTTGCCCAGTTTGGGTTTGATTTGCAGGGCTGTGGATTGTTGATTTTTTTTTTTTTTCCTTCTTGTGGTTGTTGATTACATGGTCTGATTTTGTGAATAAGGGGCGTTGATTGTGGGGTTGTGATTGGGGTAAGATTTGGTTTGTTTGATTGATTACAGAGGTGGTTGTTTGTGGGTGTTTATGCACTTTTTAAGGTGGTGTGTTGGTGGTTGAAGGAGGTGGGTGAGAGAGACCGCAGATGAGAGAGATGAAAGAGGGGTGTTTATGTCATTTAAAATTAAAAATATTTTGTAGTATTAAAATTTTGAGGATAAAAAAGTCAATTCGCATGTGTTTGAGGCCAAAAATCAAATTGGGGTCTAAGTGGTCGCTAAAAATCAAATTTCTATCTAGGTGAAATATGCGCCAACCTCAGGGGGTCTAGGTGAAATTAACCCATATTTTTATTATCCTTAAAAATGTAAGAAATAATAGTAATAGTAATAATAATAATAATAAATTTTTGATGGTAGTATAATACATTATATAATGTCCTAGTGGTTAATGGGTGTGGTGTATCATTTGTGTTAGTTTAATTTTCTTTTCTTTTCTTTTCTTTTCTTTTCTTCACCACTAATGGTTATGGATACCTGATGGTGAAATTAGGAGTGAAAATATAATAAGTATGTGTGCAGAACGTAAGAGTAACCCTGGTGTGAATTATGGACACATTCACTCACTCCCCACCACCTCTTGCCCCTGTATCAAATCCAAAGAAGTCAAGAATTGTTGGGTGTAGTTTGCTCCTTTATTCTCTCTCTCTACTTTTCATTATTTTTTTCAAGTTGATCTTAGATTTCTCTCTGTTTCTAATTGACATAAAGGTGATATTTATTTTATGGAGATGAAGTGATTCAGGTGCCCGTGGAAGAAAGATCGAGAAAATAGGACAACTTGTATAGAGAGCAAGCGCATGAGCGGAGTAAAAGGGTGGAGAGAGAAGAGGGGGAGATAAAAAGGGTAGTTGAAGGTTGTTTTTGTCATTTTAATTATTAAGAAATGGGGGTGGAGTGCCTTAGTTGTATTTTGGAGTGTAAATATCACCTCCGTACTTAAAAATCCAGCACATGTCTATATTATATAAATTATCAATTTATAAAAACTACTAAAAACTTTAGCACTTAAAATTCAGTTCTTAAGTTTTTTAGCACTCAAATTTTCATCTAATTGTTTATATGTATACACTTGGTTAATGAATTATTTTTGGATCCATTTGAGAAAAGAACTACTCTTTGGGCCAACATTTTATGGAATTGGTAGCCGATTTGGCTTAAAGATCACTTCTTAAAGATGGAGTATTGGGGCATCTGAAGGTGTCTAAGCTTATCCGTGGCATTTCTAAACCTACAGAGAGAAGGCTTCTCCAGCACTATGCTACAAATGACACCATTTTTTCGAAGGCCATTTTCACGATCTTGCAACCGCGATCAAAATAGACGGGAAAACGAACATAATGTAACGAAAGTAAAAAAACCAGATTTCAAGATACAGCCAAAAATCATCCAGTTTTATTCAATTTGCTTTAAAGCTACAACTTTGATTGCCAAATTATCAGTAACAGAACAGAGTGAAAACTTACTCCCATGAAGCCACCTACAAGCAGTTAGGATTGAAGGATTTAATGAGTTATGTACTTTTCTGCAATAATATAACTTAATTAAGTGACAAGCCCCAAACACAAAAAACTAAAAGAAGTATTTATATATGCTAATGAAATGATCTATTTATATAGGCTAATTAAATGGCAGATAATTAAAGACTGCATTTCTCCTCTTTTTCTTCTCTCATATTTTTGATGTGTGTGTGTGATGGGTGGGTGGGACACAAGACAATTTATCTTATAGGAAGAGCTCCAATTTCATAAAGGTTCTAGCAACAGTTGAAAATACCTTCTGTGAGGATTTTATCTGGATAAGTAGCTTCATATGCCTTCCGTATAATGGATCAAAAACCGGCTTGCGATTTCTTCTCAGTATAAGCATTGTCTGATACAGCAACGATGCTACTACATTGAGGATCCTCAAAATGCTATTACCCTACAAGATTGCACCAAAACAGAGATTTCACAATGCATATTCAAAAATACAACCAACAAAAGGAATCAGCCAAAATTATGCAAAGGAACAAGTATTGAGTTATGGGGCACGCTAAGATGGTCAGTTTACAGCCTACACATATTTCAATTTCGAACATCCAAGAGGACTAAGAGGTAAATTATGACATAAGCATGAAAATCACCCTCAAGCTCAAAGAATCCAAACAGTTTTTTTCTTTTTTCATTATTATTATTATTATTATTTCTTGTAAGCTGCATAGATCAGAAACAAGAAAGAAGAAATATGAAAGTAACACCTATGGTCAAAAAATAAAGATGCTGTGAATGATAACCGAGTTCAAAACAACCTCCATCCCGGTAATACCATTCAGATCAATACACATGGAACTTCTCTTACCACAGATAAGGTCTCATCTAATATAATTGACATTCAATCATGACAGAGTAAGCTATAAACCCAAGCCAAATATGTAACCTTACTATTCAAGCAACTAGGTGCATAATGCCAGCTGAAAAAGAATCAGATAAAAAGATCGAGAATGTGACAGGTACAAGAACAGCAACATCTATAGTGTGAAGTAATCTGAAATTGAGCCCGAGTCAAAATCGATTTCCTGGACTTTGCAGGGCATTGATAGTCTGGTAGACCAACAGATATCTCCGCTGTAAGTTCTTTCTCTGACAACTTGAAAAACTACGAAGTAAGCATCAGCCATGAGACGCTCCTCGCTGTGTTCTTCACTATTCTCGATTTCTGGAAGCTCGCGAAGAACTGAACATAACTTACCATTTCCTAAACAAAAGAAACCAGCCTGCAAAGCAAGTAAGCCTGCCTTAGAGTCGTCGTTGAATGGGTATGAGCTTGTCAATTTGAGTGAAGCACAAGATATAGATGTATCTTCAAGGTTGTCGGAGATATGATATGCGAAAAACCTACTGAGCCCTTCATTACACACTGCAAAGGCATATAAGGCATCACTGAAAACCAGGCCCCCTCCAGTCAGTTTATTGCGCACCAAAGCATGTGCCAAGACATCATCATTAGTACGTGCCTGTGTCTTTTCAATGTAACTGGAATCGAAGAACTTTCATTTTTGAGTTTTCAAATCAAAGTATAAACCGTGCCACGCCAGTGACACAAGATCTTGACATGGATGACGGCATGCCCAGAACAATAATTAGGAAGAATAACAGGAGGAGGAGAATAATCAGAAACTTGAGAATTGGGCAGAGGCAGGATGGTCAATACATCAGTCATGGGATCATAGACTTCGAATGCACATCTTCGCCAGTCAGTGACATTAAAATCCGGAGGGGAACCGAAAGACTTGGCATTGGGATCCCCACCAATGTGGCAAGATAAGACGTATAATTTCCCATTCACAGCCATCACAGCCGGATTACACTTACCCCATGCATATTGGGGCATTCTGACAATTCATCATAATTGATGAGACTACTGTTACAACTACTACTAATAGAGCTTAGTTCTCTAAATCTATTTCTAAAGGTGTTGAAATCCAAGTAATAAACCTTCTTAGAGGCATAATAATCATTCTCAAACCAGCAATGGCCTCCAACAAAGTAAATTCGGAATTTTTCATTACGGGGCAACTCGAGTATCGGTCACAGGAGAAGAGGGTGGTAGTGGAGGATTAGGATTATTGGTTCTACAATCGCCTTCAGCAATAACATAGGCATACAAAGAATACAGAATTGGACCATCTTCGAATTTTCTCTCCTATGACTCTGATAATGGCAGCAATTATGATTTCCCGCCTTTTCTCCTCTCTTCTCTCCATTTCCAATTTCCAGGGTTGTTCAGTTAATAAGGTTTTTCGTCATTTTAACATACAAAACAACGGGATTAATTATATAAAATTGACTCAGCATAAGAAGAAATTAGGGGGAAAAAATATATAAATGAAATTAGGGTTTTTGTTGTTGCACAAACCTTTCTTCGGAATTATTCTTCATGATTCGTACACTGGAAATCATACACGCGAGCAAAAGAAAATCAATGAAAAAGAAGCATACTAACTAATAATAATAATAATAATAATAGATAAATCACCCATTATATATAGATATATATGTGTGTGTATATGTGTGTGTATGTGTGTAGACATCCATCTGAGCTGACCTGAGCGTGTGAACCAGCAGCAAGCTTGAGGCTTCGATCCAGGTAGTGAACGTGATTTACTAAACTGTGTTGAAAATTTCGTCAACGAAATGGAGTAATAATTGTCATGTTACATGACAATTATATCAATATGCTTCGTTATGTTCTAGGAGTCCCCTGTTTTGTAAGTTAGTTAAGACAGCGGGACATTCACTGGGCTCTGATGTAGTAAGAAACACGGTGGACTGGGGTTTTAGGATCTTAAAGCATTTAATTTCGGCAAAGCATGCTTAGAATTTTGTAGTTCAAGGAGTGTACACACTCAATAAAATATAACATATTATCTTTTTATTAGCAATTTTATAAGTAGGTGGACTAATTTCTTTTAAAATAAGGTATTGTCATTGAATGGGTACATTAATGACATGACGCGTCTTGCGCACTCAAAGTCTGCTCACAAAAAGGGAGAATTGGTTTATAATTGATTATGGCTAAAATACTTTCCATCATGCTATTTCTTGGAGGTGAGCGTGGACCAGAATCCGTCGTGAGCTTCGCGCAGTATTTGGTTTGTCGTCCAAAAGATTTTGCAACACAAGGAGCTTGGCGCAGTATTTGGTCTGTCCAGAAGATAGATTTTGCAACGATTTGAAATGGGCGGGAGGAAATGGTCAATATATTAGTATATAGAACGTTTTGATGCATGGACGTTCTTCAAAATTATTTTGACCACCAATATTTTACACAAAAAGTTACGCCTCGGAGCACAGAAAGTGGTACCTTTGTGTACAAAAATGGCACAACTTTTACATCACCAAAATCATGAGATCGTTTTTGTGCATATATGCATAACTTTTGTGCATGCGGCAGATTGTGAGCATACTATAATAGGCATGACAATTGCTTCATGGAAGAAGCCAAAATGAGAAAAAGGAGTGGAAACAAAGAAATGCTTTTTATGCTGTCACTGATTAGGAGAATCCAAGCTCTAGGAATACAATGAAACTCATTTGAGAAATAAAACAATGAAATATAGATAAATGATGCATAATGTTTTTTTCCTTTCGCTGGAAAGTTCAGGTTCTACAGAACAGCAATATTTTTAGATAATGTACAGAAACATAAAGGTATCAATCTGGTTTCACTTCACACTGATTCAATGCTCCATTTCTATGCTATCCTGCACTCAATTTAACTTTCTGTCGCAGGGACTTCATCATCGGTGTCAATCCCAACCCAATCGATCAAAGCAAAGAGGAACTCCCTGAAGCTGACATTCCCGTTCCTGTCGCAATCCATTTCTTCTGCATTTATTCACAAAAATCACCAAGATAAGGACAACATAACTTAAAGGGGGTGAAATAAATTTGCATGTAACAGTAAGGGGCGATTGAAGTAATACTAAATCGAGTCCTAGTAACGTGTGATGGGGATTTCTCCCATGGAGAAGCATCATTCAATGCCTTGACGACATCTTTCTTGTTCAGCTTTCCATCACCATTCTTATCCAGAAACAAGAATGCTTCAATTATAGTGTCAAAGGTTGCTTCAAGCTGTGGTGAACCCACCTTTGATGTCTGAAACATATTTGGAGGTCATCAATTGAACTGACAGCACATGTTTACCCAACAAGTGAAGTATATATTGGTAAGAGAAAAATTAAGTTCGTTGTGGATAATACCATGTGAGGAGAGGTGGAAGGATCTATCAGGAGATAAATTAGACACAGAAGAACAATGAACTCATTGAATTGTATCCCTTCACTCCCATCTATGTCACATGAATGGAAAAGATCATCGATTTCCTTTTCCGTAGGACAAAGTTGCAGTTTTTGCAAACATTTCTTGAGCTCCTCACGGTCAATAGTTCCATTAGAATCTTCATCTGTGTTAGGGAGGGGGAAGAGGGACAGAGGACAAATCAGTTTGCAGAATTCTTAAGAAAACGACTTTCAATGACTAAAAAGCTTGAATAACAGAAAAAGTAACCTTGTGGGAACTCACCATACCGCTCAAACATGCCTCTGATGTCTTTCAGTCCCTCTTTGAACTGAGGGAACCTCAAGATTATGCTATTGAATGATTTGAAAATGTTATTTCCCGATGCACTTTTCTTTACCTCCATCATTTTCCTTTCAAGCTTCGTATCTAACCTTTTATACTTGTTGGGTGAATTACGACAGCAGAGCATGCCGCCTACTTTATTGGACAATGACTTCAGAGCAGGGCATGGTTTTGACATGCCTAAAGAATAGAACACCAGAAGGGATATTGCATAAGCATAACGAACAAAATCAAAATTAAAAGTACTATTTAACATGAATATGACTACTTACTGTTATAATCTTAGGTAAACGGACATAACACATTTGGATATTTCTCACTTAAGGTCAAGAATCAAAGTGCCAACAAATTCTTCAGCAAGTCCCATTGATCTCAGCAACATAATCTATTCTACAGATGTAACCACTGTTCAAGTATATATACATAACTATATATATTGAAAGCAATAAAGAAGAGCGAAAATGTATAGGTGCTAGGGACATAAGGATGACTGATAGTGGCAGTGGTGATGGGGTCAGGTGAAAGGGGGATAGTGGTGGTGGTCTGGTGGCAATTGCAGTAGTGCCAAAGCCACTGCTGCAGAATAATGAAACAATAAATATACCACAGCCGACACCACCTCCAAGGAAAACATGAATGCCATCACGGCCACTTAAGAAAGTCACAGATTATTAACACCATCCCATCACCAGTGACGCTGCCACCACCTCTGGCAGCCTGCTATCACCATTAACACCATCATGAGAACCATCAGCAAAAGCTCTCCCACTGCATGATGCTTGATCCAGTACTCTAATTTACTTTTTACTCCATGACATACACTAATCATGATCGACACCTCACATAAATGTATTCACATTAGTCTTAGAAGTAGATAGCATAAACCTCATTTATAAGTGATCCGAACAATATCTTGAGATATCATAGGTACTTGGACTTTGTATCTTGAGAACCTTTTTAATTGCTGCAAACCTATGCAAATTTTATACAAATAATTTGCTGTTTTACTGAACCTAAACAATAAAAGGGGCAAGTTTCCATTTGACTGACCAGTTTGACAACCAGTTCTTTGAAGTCAAAAGTACGAAAAATATAGTCAAAAAAAATTTGTAAGAAAATTTTGGATATAAATGTAAGGTCGAAAAATTTATTGTTCCTTCTGAAAAAAGTACCATTGCATTGTGAAACAATAATAGCTCAGATTGTTGAGCATTGAATAATTGGTAAAGACTGAGTCAACCTCTTCATGCATCCTCTTCATGCATTAGAGTTGGTGGTCTGGTAAGTAACCCCTTCCATAATTTGCAACTCTACTTGCTAATTATTTTGTTTAGAAAACCAACAAGGTGAGACAAAATCAGAACATTATTGATGACTACCCACCCCACAATTTCTTTTTTTCACATTATGGTCTAGAAATATTTACTGGTACATTAGCCTCAATATACATATTTCATTAACCAAATTAATTCTAACTAATTTTTGTAGCTAATGTAACAACTAAAGAACCACTTTTTCACTTTTTCAAGAATAACATGGACATACTTCTGTATAAGCAGCAACTCTTCTTCTGATAATCGATACCTAATGAAGCAGCAACTTTCCTTCTCGTTGTGATAAACCTAGCCAGCTTATATAGAATTTCAATACAACCCGCCCCAACAGAGCCCCGCCATTAATGGAATAGGTTTAGGTGCATTCTGATTGGGTTAGGGGCGGATTTGGAAAGAGAGTTAAACCCCAAGACCGCTCCGATTAATAATAAATATATACAAATATATGCTTCATTATAAACTAAAGCCTTTTTCTTTTCATTGCTTTTCATGATAATTTAAAATTTTAACTAAAGAGTTAAAAATACTTTGTAATTACAATTGTTAAGAATTTGTTTTTATGATTAGATTTTTCCAAAATTCTATCATAAATTTATTCAAGAGTGATTTTTTTCCTTTGCGGGGCAGGTTTGGGATAGGGTAAACCGCCTTGTTGACATCCGTAAACATATACGATCAAGAGCGTTAGACCGTTCCAACTGAGCTAGTTACCAAGAAGTGCCATTAACCACATCATTTTCTAACCATGCTATTGGTTTGATATATTATTCCTTAGGGTCATTTCCATACCTGAATAAGTATAACTACCATATGTTTACACGCATTTACATGTGCTCAAACATTTTGCATAGAATCTGCAATGTTTCTAAAACAATTTAACTTAAGGAAAACCAAAAAGTTGCCTTTAAAATAAAATTCGAAACAATTACATGGCTAAAATTGCGAGCAAACAAAAATTGACCTAAGCTTGCGAAATGATTCAAACCTGATCAATTTAGAAGTATCATACCTGAGGACCAACATGAAAATTCAATGATCAATCCAGTATCATGCTATTGGTTTGATATATTATTCCTTAGGGTCATTTCCATACCTGAATAAGTATAACTACCATATGTTTACACGCATTTACATGTGCTCAAACATTTTGCATAGAATCTGCAATGTTTCTAAAACAATTTAACTTAAGGAAAACCAAAAAGTTGCCTTTAAAATAAAATTCGAAACAATTACATGGCTAAAATTGCGAGCAAACAAAAATTGACCTAAGCTTGCGAAATGATTCAAACCTGATCAATTTAGAAGTATCATACCTGAGGACCAACATGAATCCAATGATCAATCCCATGATTAGGTGAGGGTTTTTGGCTAGTCTCAAACTAAAAGAATAAAAGGAGCTAAGACCCTTATTATTCTTGTTGTTTCATGAGTGTTGATGTTAACTTCCTTGAGGGTATGCCATTTTCTTTTTTTACAAAAGTAGATATTGATAACGACCATTTACCAGTTGCTCAATCATCTGTAGTTTGTGATATTTCATAAAAAAACTGCACCTTATTCACTACAAATTTACCAAAGGAGCCCAGTAACTAATATAGGCCCTTCTGATCCTCTACCTAAATTGTCTGATTCACCTATAGATTCTATACTTCATCTGAAGACCTATCAATAATGTTAAGGGAAAGTATTTGGAAGCTTAACACATTACATATCAGAAAACAAACTGTTGGGTGCCATTGAATCTATTCATTACCATCAATGGTCAATCTAATGGAAGAATTGAGCTACTAAGAGCTCGGTTGATTGGTAAAGGGTATTACTCGGATATCTGTGCTCAACTATTCTGAAACCTTTTCTTCTATGGCACATCTTGATTCAACGATGTACTGCTCTGAATGGCAACCACGGGGGGCTGCGGCGGCTGCCCCTTTTACCAACTTGATATAGAAAATGCTTTCCTTCATGGTGATTTACAAGAGGCTATAGATATAGAGAGAGAGTAACCTCCTAGATATGTTGTTGATGGGGCTTAAACATTCTCTGACAGCTTGCTTTGATAAAGTCAGTTTGGTGGTGCCGATGAGTTGTGGTATACAATGTCTGAGTTATCAGCATATAGAGTAGTAGCATAAAATGTCCAGGTATTCATCAATTATTCATCAAAGCCCTACTGAAATTACTATCCTTGTGTTAGTTTGATCATATTTTGGTTACTGGGAGTGATACAACAAGGATTAATGATCTTTGAGTTCAGTAGAAACAGTATTTTCATATGAATGGCACTGATAAGTTTGTGTTTTTCTTCCAAATAGCAAAAGGGGATATCTAGTTTTTTAGAGAAACTATACCATTGATCTTTCAGGAAGAAACATGTCTTGTAGGGGCTAAATTAATTGACACTCTTATATATCATAAATGTTAAATTTGTGTGTGTGTGTGTGTGAGTGAGAGAGAGATGTTGGTTCACCTTCAATACTAAGTACAACTCAACTCAACAAAGCCTTTTCCCAACCACTTGGGGTCGGCAACACGAATCCTATTTTTCATTTCCGCTCTATCCAAGGTTTTATAGCCTCACTTAAACTATATGTTATCATATCCTTAATTACTAACTCTACGGGTAAATTTTTGTATGTAATCTTCATATATTCAGCAGCAATAGTTCAATTTTTTTTTTTTTTTTGTTTATCCTAGATTCTTTTGGATGTGTCCTTTAACCTAGCTAGTTGATCATAATGAAAAACATCCAAAGGACACCTTTTTTTTTTTTTTTGAAATGTAAGGGCACCTTGAACCATGTAGAATTTAGTATTATGCCAAAGGAAGTTATATCAATCATAATGAACTGCTAAGAGATGATAAATATCATCGACGACCATGAATCACTTCAACTGAGTATTCTAAAACCAAAATCATTAGGGATGGTCAAATGAGCATAAAATGGCCTAGTAAAAACAGAATGTACTGTTCATACAATTCCATTATCTATATATATATATATATATATAAGATACATAAATATTATTAAAGATGATTAATAAAGTATAGAGGTGGACAAGATATCAATACCTAACTCTAACTGTAAGACAACTCAAAAATGAAATCATGACCTAAAGCATAACAAGAAAACAATGACCTACACTGCCAAATCTAAAATTAGGGCAGAAAAATGAAATTTCCTAAGTTTTATAGATGAATTAAAAATAAAAAACACCGTAAAAGTAAATAAATGATGCGGGAAGGAATCAATTTAGAAAGAAAAGAAAACGTATTCATTGTATTAAAATAGTAGAATACGAGCATTTGCAGTAATAAAGCAACAACATTTACACAAAAGAATTTAAATACAAGCACATGTCAGTAATATTTATTTAACCAAAACCCCAATTCACTGGAAAATTCTGTTCTAAAGATTTGCTAATTTCTTCTGATCATATCAATCAACAACCCACAAGTCCGATGTTTTCAAAGTAATTAATACTTCTAGAATTAATATCATAGTGATGTCATATAATCTTTAAAAACACTATTAACAATATCATGAACCTTACAGCATATAAAAGAAAGAAATCAAAGACTTACCCATTGAATCTTTCATGACTTTCTGTGCGAGGAGAAGAGGCAGCTGGTTATTCCCAAGTATAGGCACATATATAAATAGAATGAGTAGGCGTCGATATATATATATATATATATATATGGCTTTCAATAAGTGAAAGGACATTGGGTCCTGCCAAAGTAACGTGAAGATGCCATTATGCCTTTGAATCTCTCTCTCTCTCTCTCTCATACACACACACACGCACAACACACAAGTGGAACTGCATCATGAGCAGCTTTGACAAGAAGCACTCACTAGACTTCTACTTCTTTACTTTATTTCTCTCTCTTTTTTTTTTTTAATTAGTTATTCTGTAACTTTTTATGAGCTCTTATAAGTGAGACTCGATGGTGGATTGCGCAAATGAATGAAAGTAGTAATTGAGATGGCAAATTTTCAATTAAAAAAATTATTAATTTGTCTTTGTTTAGAAAATTTGACTATTATTAAAAATGTTTGTAGCATTATCTATATATGTTTTTTCATAATGATATTTAAAGATTAGTAATTGAGAAGGCGTGTGATTAGTACATAAGGGGAGTAATTTCTTTTGTTTTTTTAACATTTTTATTCATGAGACAATAACTAAGAAAAACTAACTATGTTTTAATTAATTTTTTGGTTAAATGATTACTGTAAAATAATTAATTTATTTGATTAATCAAAAATCATATTATCAGTTTCAATGATTAAATCAGCTAAAGTTATTTGAAACAAAATATGTGAGATATGAAAATTATAGCAAGAAATTGAGATAAATTTATGCCAATATTGTTGGGTTTGTGTCTTAAATTCATGTGCAGAATGTTATTCGAGGGAAGTTGGACCGGTTCAACTTTTTTGGACTGGTCCAACACGAAAATTAAGTGTAAAGTTACTGAAAAAGTTAAACCGGTCCAACATGAGTCACGAGTCACATGACTTATATGTGCATTAATGAGTTTTCTAATAAATTTGAAATCAAGAAGAAGGAAGTGGAGATTTATAAAAGCATATTAGGCTCCTAGTTTAGAGTAGTGAAAAAAAAAAAAAAATGATTTGGAAAAGAAGTGTGCCATATTAGGCTCCTAGTTGTAATGTGAATTCTTGTCAAATAAGAATTTGGGTTTTGAAAATGGGTGTCAAAGATTAGGATAGTGAGAGAACGAAATAATTAGAGAGAGAAACAGTTAGTTTACCGTTCCAGTTTCAGTTTCAGTTCCGGTTCTAAAATAAGAAATCGTTAGTTTACGGTTCTAGGGCTATTGAAATTGAACTAAACTATATATATATATATATATATATATTACAATATTAATAAACAATAATGTAACATTTGTCACAAAGACAAAACTACACAAGTATACAACAGTTTATTGTCAAATGATTTTTTACTTCTAAATTTCATATATGTTTCACATAAACAAAAACATCCTCACATAAGCAAAAACATGATAACAGCTCATTTACTTTTAGATCACAAATATACCTTATTTCTTAGTTGAGAGATTTATTATTACTTGTATAAACTTGTATTTGTTTTATGTGGTTTATAGTGAGTGACTTATTTAATTTTTTATTTTTTTAAAAAAGAAAAGAAATAAAAATTGTGATTCGTAATTGAACCAAACTGAATCGAACTGGTCATTCACAATTCGGTTTGGTTTGGTTTCATGTCTCAACGGTTTCGATTGTAATTTCAATTTTTTAAAAGCCGCTATAATCGGTTCGATTTGTTCGGACCTTGGACACCCTAGTTCTATAGTGTTCCCGTGATCCCAATACGTGCTTGTTTCATTTTCTAAAAATTCTTTACTTTTTATATTCCACAGTTGAAAAATGAGAAAAAAATAAAAAAAAAAAAAAAAAAAAAAATAGACTGAAAGTAGTTTTAAATGGGAAAATGTTATTGAAATAAAAATTCTCAAATTGAGCCTTATTTCAAAAAGTATTTATTAAAAAATAAATAAAATCATTATTCAGTGCAATCCTTGTATATAGTGTAAAGAGGACGGACACCGAAACTTTCATACTGACCTCTTCTAGACTACTACAAACCTCAAGTCCAGCTAAAAAGAAATTCTACTTTTATTTTTAAAAAAATTAATAAAAAGTCTTAAATAATGTCAAAATTAATACTATATTTTTATCTGATGATTAATGAAAGATGGGACAAAAGTAAGTGGTCAAAATAGTGGAGCTAAAAGATTTGATCCTACCCAATATAGCTTCTCTTCTTTTCTTGTTTTTTGGTTTTTCCAATCAATAAAGTCTAAACTGATACAGGGTCTCATCAATCAACGACTTTGCTCATTAACGAACAGTAGAATCAATCACTTACCATGAGCAATCACTAATAGCAGACCATTTGAAATACACCACCTGCTTTAAATTTGAAATTAAAATATATATATATATTAATTTAAAATTTCATTTCAATTTTAAATCCAAACTACCGATTTAGTACTCCAAACATTACACATTCTTCAACTATGTAAATTGCGGGTCAGGCTTGAAGTTGAAGACAACAATTTGAAGCCAACAACATAATATTCTCTAGAGTATAGAATTTGTACAGCAAGAGATGATCCATATGTACTTGTTGACACAACACATTGAACCTGAATCAACTCGAGTCCTGCATTTGCTGGCTTCTCACAAGAAACAAGTTAAATTTGCGAAAGAAACAACCCACCAACCCACTCACAAGTAATATTTTGCTAAGCACCATCAAGTGCGAAAATGACTAAGGTATTCCAAATTCAAATGATATACTTGACAATATACAAACAACTGATGCTAAAGTGAGCGACGTGGACGGGTCATATTTAGATTAATAAGATACGATAAGTACTCATCCAATACTTGTCATCATCCACTCGACTTGTCGCAAGTTGCTCTCCAGAGGTAACAAGTCTCCATTACCAAACAAAGGTCTTTGTCTCTTTTTCACAGCAGCAGCCTGTGAACCCACCACGCCAACCAGAGAAGCCGAGCTTCCATTTGAGGTCAAACAGCTGTCAACGGAGCAGTCGCCAATTCGTGCAGGAATGGAGGAAGCGTTTCTGTTTTCCGGTGCTGCATTGACTAGGGGAAATGAAGGCATTCCTATGGTCTCAACCGCTACTATCCCATTCGAGTCGTTTGAGACCTTGATTGCCATTTCAGATAGCTCTTCCATAGCGGCTTCAACCCCAGATGCTGCAGCCTGGTTGTCGAGAGCTACACATGCTCTTTCAAGAATTGACTGCAGGTATTTGCCTTGCGCTTCAATCCGAAGCTGGAGATGACGCTGAACCTAATTCGAGTAGAACCATAACAAAAAGCTTCTTTTCACAAAACTAGACTCAAATTGGAAAATTAATTATACTATGGTCAAAACATGTGTTTCAGGTTAAGGTTGCATGTAGTTTAGCCTCTGACAACCAGAGCAGGAAATTACACATATCACACCTGAGTTTTCCGAAAATTATATACAAATTTCCTGGGGTATTTGAATTTACAATTGACCTATTCTACGGTTCATTCACGAAGTCACAGACTACTCCTCAAACTCAGACATGAAGTGTAGCTACAGAAAATGATGAAATCTTATAGGTTTTGTATTTAAAGGATCTTTGCACCGTTATTTGTCTCGTTAAGTAGGCGAACAAGATTACATTGCCCTTTTTTCTATGTCTTGTTAGTCTCTTAATTAGTTCAAAACTACTCTGTACTTCACATGGACCCATGAAGTGGTCGTCTATGCCTATGCTAGACAAACGTCACAAGGGTATCGTATTGGGCATGCAACAGACAGGTCCAGCAAACCCAATTTTATTATATAATTCATAAACCTCTCTGCTTTGTTCCTTTAGTTGCTTCAAAATGAGTGGGATGCTCACATTGAATACTGTGTTACATGTAAGTAGCATTTATCACTAAGTAACAAAAAAATATATAAAAAACTTGAATATTTTGCTATGCCCCATGCCCTTATCTTTGGATTTGAGAAATCTGACATCAGATCCTTTAACATAGCTTCAAAATAAAGGCATAATGACATTTCTTTCTATACTATCCTTACAAACTAAAAGATAGCAACAACATAGTAACATTAGTATTTTCTCCATCAACAGAAGGACTATCAAGTGATGGGAGGATACGTCAGTTCAAGCTTTAGACCAACTACAATGAGAGGGTTCAGTGTAACGAGCTATAGAAGATGATAATTTTTGTAACCCTAGGAAAGGTACCATAGCTGTAAGTAGAAATACCTTCTTTCAAGTCCAAAACAGTGAGAAAGATATCTCATCATATGCTATTTTTTATATTTCCGAAGGGGGAAGAAAAGTTTAAGGTGACTTTCCCGTGGGACTATTTACATGGGACTCGGGCCCATGTGGAGGGTTGTAAGTATCTAAGCATCAGGTACCTAATTATTAGATGCAATTACATGACTAAATAATCAAACTTTTACAAGGTTCCATTTGGATTTTGGATAAATGAATGGATTTGGGTCAAGGAATTTGCGTTGACAGATTGGATATTAAAGTTGGACTCAGAAATTCAAGGGATGTTAGAGATTAGATGTATAGAAGACATGTTTTATTATAAGGGTATATTACCCCGACGTACCCTAAAGTTTGTATTTAATACCATTGGATGAAACTTAGCAAAAAGTTTCTGACAAGGTATATAATGTTTTAACATATTACTGAAAAAGTTATTAAATGAATATCTAAAGATAACAAAGCTATTAACATTTAAGAGGATAAAATTACCCCCAATTGTACATATCATTTTACCATAGTACACACAAATTTTATTATATCAAATGGATATCCAAACATAACAAAGCTATTAATGTTTACGAAGACAAAATTACCGCCAATTTACATTGTTCAACCAGCATCTCTCTTTCTCTCTCTCTCTCTCAGCTTTACGTTTCCCTTACTTTTGTGGTGATCATTGTAGTTCTCATATATATGTATGCATAGATGTATGGATAAACTGTTGCCCAAAGGAATATATACACGTATACACAGATGTGTGTGTGCATGTGCATGCTAACACACCCATCTACATGATACACATATGATATGCATATTGGTCTTGGGGTGGCTTCCTCTCATGGGAGGTTCAAGGTCAGCTCTTTTTATAGGAAGACATTGATAGGTAAGCTGGGGCCTCCATTCCCTAGGAAGGCCCTCTGGCGTACAAAAGCTCCACTAAAGGTGGAATTTTTGGTTGGACGTTGGGTTTTTGGGAGGATTTTGACCATAGACAACTTGAGGAAAAGGAGACGGATCATCGTTAACTGGTGTTGCGTGTGCAAGAGGGATGAGGAGACAGTGAACCGTCTTCTCTTACATTGTTCAGTGGCTTGAGAGGGATGGGAGTTGTTCTTTGCAGTATTTGGCATCAGTTAGGTCATGCTGTCTTCCACAAGAAACATGCTCAAAGCTCGGAAGGGCTATATAGTGGGAATGCAAGTTCAAGATGCTTGAAGGGTGGCCCCTCTTTGTTTGTGGCGAGGTCTTTGGCGGGAGAGGAATAGGATATTTTGACGGAGAGGAGACTCCTATTTCGGCTAGCTTCTTCTTCTTCTTCCTTTTATCTTACTTATCAAAAAAATAAAAAATGATATGCATATTGCAGCTTTCTTGTTTTGAACTTTTGGGTTTGATTCACCCAAGATTGGAAGTGTATGGCCTGATTGAAAGAGCTTCAGTATTCTCATCTGGGATTATTTTACTTCTTTTGCAATTACTAATTAGTAATAATATAACATAAGCTATGTTGATTTTGATACAAAAGTTCTAGGGTTTATCTCAATTGAACGCCCACAAGTGTTTGACTTCGACCACACATGGTTGTTCAATTATGATGTGGGGATCACTTGTCGCAGTCTAAAGATGAAGAGAGCTTGCCAGATACAGATCACTTGAACCCCATGACAACCATATTCCATTTCAAGGTTTCTGAGAGGCTGTGCTGGTGAGAGAAAGAGGAGATGGTGTATTTCATAGGTGACGGTGGAGGGATGGATGATACAATGAGTGGGTAAATGTCAAAATGAAATCTCTCTATATATATATGCACATTAAGGGTATTTTTGCCCAGGGTTATCTTTGTCTTCTTATAATATTTATTGGGTAGCATATCATTTCACTACATATATGGGTTGGGCATTCAGTACGAAAATATTTAACGGACTCAATGGTCCGATTAAATAATATTTCATTCTGTTGTTGCCACCAAGTCTCTTGCTCCTATTAAGCCCAGTGTTGGTAAAGTGGGTAGCACTGGGTGGATGGTCTATCTGCACTTAAGTGGTATTAAAAGCCGTTCTGGAGGAGCAGTTGGGAGAATATGTACTTTCACCTAAATCTCAGGGTGGTAGAATACCTTTTTTTTTGCTAAGTTTCATCTGATGTTGATAAGCTCAAACCTCGGGGGAGTTCAGGTATTTTATCCTTATTATAATCATTGTGCCAGTGCAATCCTTGTTGTCATGGGTCTCAAATAACAAGATTAAAAACACTCTTTGAATCTTGTTGTTTGGAATTCATCCATATAAATCCCTCAAATCCATCTATACATGCTATTAAAATATAAATCTAAATTACTAGATTTAAATTTTAACTATACTCCCCAAATAATGAAACTTAAATCCATCCATTTCAAATCCTTTAATTGAATCGAGCCTAATATTCTTTTATTTCTTGAAGCAAAATGGTAAATTTATATGTAATTTAGAATGTTCAACATAAAAACTTTACTCATTTTGAAGCAACTACATAATAAAATACTATAATTGTACAGTAAACTTAAATTAGCAGACGTACTTTAGTATTTAACTGGTCATGTTGGCTATGCTACCGACACAATATTATGTTAGTCACTGACTCAAATCCTTCCTACATTCAAAAGAGTCCTTGTAGAATATCCCTGGATGTGGCTTTTTAGCTTTTTATATCCGGCTTATTCATAATCAATATGCCCCATTACCATAAGAAAACCAAGAACAATCATGGTGGCTTAAGCAGAATGTCAATAAAATTCTATTATTAGACACAACATAACCAATGAAACCAACCTCTAGCTGCTCGTGCAGTCTTCGCTGGACTTCCATCTGTACTCGCATAGCTTCAGCAACCTGGTAGCCACTGTTTAAAAGAGAAAAGAAACCAATAATCAAGCAAGGTCACTAGACAAGCTTTGGTAACAAAATGAAAATAAATATAACATACTCATTTAAATCTTGCGGTATCATTCTTGATGACAATGATGTAGATGAACCGGTGTCCTGACTCTCTGCAGTGCAAGATACTGCAGTTCCAACGAAAGATTAATAATGAATTGATGAAAATCTAGGAATTGCAGACACCAAAAAGTGTGTCTAAACATTTTTTTAATTAACAATAAAATAATTGGACATGCCAAGGACATGTGTCCCACGTGTATCACTCTATCAGACAACAATAGGTTTTTTTAGAAAAATGATTGGTGAAAGTACACAATATGGAGACAGCTAGTACAACAAATGATTGTGCTATACTCTAAACATGATCAGATCCTCTCCATTCTTATAATATGCCAACTAGCAATTTGCGATATAGTTAATTTTTCTCTTGCAAAACTCAAGCTCTTGTTCTCTCTCTTTCTCTCTCTCTCTCTCTCTCTCTCTCTCTCTCTCTTATCATGAACAAAGACAACCATGTCAACCAATGTCTAGGCTGCCTGCTAGAACCCATGCAAAGTCTTACTCTCTCCTCAGGTCAGCTTTGCATCTCTCCCGTCTTCTTTGCCCTCCTTTTTCCTCATCTCCTTCTCCATCTTTCTTTTTTCTCCTTTCTTATACTCTCTGTCTCTCTCTCTACTGTTTTCTTTTTCTTCCCATCACAAACACCATTTCTCTCTAACTGATTCTCTCTTCTTCTTTTATATCTCAACAAAACTTTAATCTCTCTACTCTATTTATTTCTTTCTTTTATTTGGTTCTCTCTCTCTCTCTCTCTCTCTCTTGAGAATCCATTTTTCTCTTTGACCGTGATTATAAAAAAATATTGACCTCTTCCATTTCCAAAATAATAATAATAATAATAAGAAAAGAAAAAGATAAAATTATTATCACAGCTTAAATAGTGATTGTGATTTCTGGATTTTTAATTCTTCAGACAATGAAAAATAATATTAGTCTTATAATATATGATCATTTAAATTCATATTGTTATTATTCGCCTTATCTTTGCCGTGACTATATCTTAATTGCTTAAGATTTGCCATGTCACTATATTTGTGCTGTTTTGTATCCATCTCTCGTATCCATATATGTGCTTCTTAGTCTCTTAGATGGAATTTTCAATTGCCACTACTCATCACTAAGAACATCTACCATTTTAACCCCGAGTGTTGCATCTGCCATTTTAACCCCCGGGTGTAGTAGATAGCCCTCCTTTTCTCCTACCGCTATTCCCACCAATCCCAACAGTGCCTGGAGCATCAATTTGGTGATAAAGAGGAAGCAAGTGAGACTCAATTTTTTGTTAAACCGTAATTAAGAAAATGCACTGGAGGGAGATGATGGATCAGAAGACTGTATGCCAAAAAAGTAGTGGAAATATTACAAAAACCTGAACCACCCTGATGAAACTCCTACATCCAAAATATCAATACCTCGTGCTGAAAATTTTGTGAACTGGCTATTGTCGCTTTTAGGTGGAAAAGCTCTGTTCATGGTTGTGTCCTTAAATAATCAAGTACTTTTGCAGTTGTGTCCTTCCATTTAATCTTTCTCATCATGATTGGATTCAACAAATATATATATATATATATCAAAGGTACAAAACTATGTACCCTGCATCTATGGTTGAATGTGCAAAAGCCATTATAATAGAGAACTCAAGGTTAATACCATCTTTCGAGTTGTCAAGGAATTCCTTGCCAGATTGCTTCCCCAACCGGTATTTCTGCAAAGATGAGATATTAATTACAGAAGAGTTATGCCTGAGGCTACACTAATATAATATTTTCAAAGCAGAATACATGAAGGTGGGATGAAGTATAGTTATGTGGTGAACATTGGTGATGTAAGCCTAGCACGAAGAACAATTCAAACAAGCTCTGTTGCCAAATTTGGTGTCGTACAGCATTGGAAAAGTAACAATAGACTCTTGCAATTTATAGTTTAGGGTGAGCTTGGCTAAGAAAAAAACTTGGGGTTTAGGGTCTATTATGTGGACAAAAGTTTTAGGTATTATGGAAGGGAAGGGGTGGAAGTTGGCAAGGTTTTAAAATTATTTAGCTGCTGGCAACTCAGGAAAAAGGTTGCTAAAATATCTGGATATATTATATCGCTATATATAGAATTCTAATTGATCGTATCTTTAATAAGACTCCATGTGTAGAAACTTAGAAACTTTAACTAGTAGAACTCGTATAAACCTACTAAAAAACGTAACATCATATGTTGCCCTAAAACATGCCCCATGCAGCACAACTACAATCCATGTCTAGTATTTCTTAATTTACAAAATATCCTTCACTCTTAAAATATAAGAAAATATATACAGAGTTGACCATAAGCATATTACCATAATATTAAACTCTCTTCTTTAAATATAGATGTATATATATTATATATTTATTTTAAGTTTCTTCTTTAAGTATGCTCTTTCTTGAACATGGACAACATCGATTGGTATTCACAATTTTCAATATTGTCTAGAACAAAATCTTACAGATTTTTTTTTATTTTTTTATATAAGGTGAAAAAAATAAAAAAAAATAAAAAATCTTAAAGATAATCATTTTATTTCTTTGTAGTGTGTACTTTAGTTCCCTTTTGTGGAGAAGGGGATAGAGTTGGGTGGGTTCACTTTGACAATCAAAGCTAAGGAACATCCGGATCATGCCCTTAACTAGAAAAGAAGAAAAAAATTCCAGACCATGAAGGAAAAAGAAAAAAAAAGGAAACACAAACCTGGAGATGTGACTTCAAATGATAAAGGGTCAGGCCTTTTACCCCCATTGTTCTCATAATTGTCTTTGGTGTTGCTTCTGCAATGCATATCAGGAGAAAATCAGAAAATTAGCTCGGTAGTCCATCAAGAATGCAAATAAATGTCACTGAGAAGATGTAAATATGCTCTGGTAAATAACTCGCAAATTTCACAAGATGTATATAGCTCATTAAAAAATATATATATATATATATATATATATATATATATATATATATATATATAAATTAAAAAATAAATTAAAATAAAAAAACTGCGCTCTGATAAATAAGCATAATTATGTTAGGTGGGTTCAGATACCAAATAGCTTGGGTCTGAGCCGCAAAAATACAAGGACTGCCTGGCAGATTCATTTTACCCCTATATGATTTGCTTCCTTTATGCTGGCCTGCCCATGGTCTAAAGTCACTGTATTGGTTACCGACTGGGAGCTTCAGAAATGACTCAGGTTACAGGGTGATGGCGTCGTAGATCACTACCAGCGTTATGCAAAATATGCTTAATTAAAAATTTAGAAAAAGATAGAACAATAAAGTGGATCCATTAAGCAAAAAAACTAGTCTACCATATCAACATGGTCTAAATGATCAATGCAGTTGTTATTGAACCCTTTTACTACCGTATCCATAATTGTCTGAGTTGAATTGTAGGACTGTTACCCAAGGTTTTGATACATCTGAGTGCAATCAGTATAGCTCTTTCTTTTTCACCCTTATCTCATTTTTATTAGAAGTGATTGGCTGAATACCCAGTCTATTCAATGTGGGCATAACGAGTATAAGGACCTCAAAAAAATCTCTTTTGTCGTCCTATGAACTTTAAGGTGTATGAAGTTTCATTTTTCTTTTGCTCTGCTTCTAAACTCTTCAAGGGGGAAGGTTTAATTGACTTTGTAGTTCCTACAGTCCTTTTCTTTGAGGGTGAATTTTTCATTATTTCTTTCTTCTTCTTGAGGTCATTAATGCATTTGGTGCATTTATACCTCACGTGACCTTTTTATGATCAATATTGGCATGTTGCAGTATTTTTAGGGGTATCTAACCTATTAGGCTCACTAGATTTTCTAATCCAAACTATTAGTAAAATTCTCAAATTTCGTCTTAAAACCTAACTTTCAAACTGCATTATTTATTGTTCTATAATTCAATTCTAGTTTCTCTCTTAATTTTTAATTCTTTGTTCAACATCCTAGACTGTGTAGCTTCTAATTCTAGAGCTTTTACTGTGCTGAATAATATGTCTTTTCCTTCTTAAGTATAGTCATCAGAATTGTTGAACTAGCAATGTATAACTTATGGTTTTCTGATTTAACTTCTATTACCTTTAATTTACTTAAGAAATCATTATGTAACTCAACAAAAGTTAACCTAAATAAATCATCATCATACTCAAAATTGTGTTCAATATGAGATGATGTATTTATCAATTCATCATCAGAAGCATCACAAGGAGAATAATCATGCTTTAACAATCACAGTTCTAGAATGATCTAAGGCATAATCATCAGAATACACAAATTCAACCATTAAAGCTTCTTAATATTCATATTTTCCCTATAGATAAACTCTCTATATTGGGTAATCCGCTTTGATACCAATTGTTAAAGAAGAAATGCAAGGTTAAAGGAATAGAAGTGTAAAGGCTTGAATGAGATATACACCCATGTATTTAATATTTATATTAGTCAGAAATATAATGCACAATAATTACATGGTCAAGTTCCACTAATTACACCCTCAAATCCCACAATTCTAGGCTAACATATCTCGGCTATCACTCTCCCTCAAGTTGGTGTGTGGATATCTAAGACGCCCAACATGTATTTATATTGTGATGCCTAGGCCTATTGGCATGGTTCCAGCAGGTTCCCCTTATCCCATTTTTTTTTTCAAATTTAAAGTCCCTATTTGCTGTATGCCCAGAATCTTCCCACAATCTCACTAACCTTCAGCCCTCTATTATCTTAACTTTCATGCATGGTTCTTCAACTTTCAGCTATTTGTGGCTCCTCTTGAAGTCCTGCATCATCAGAACTTGAGCTTTGATGCAGTTCTGATTGGTTCACTTTCATGCATCACATGTACACCTTGCACCTTATAACCACTTTAAAAATACACGAGTCCCAGAACCTGAGACATCTAATAGTTGAAGAAGATCCATCAAATATCATTACAAACAGAAACCTAAAGAATGGCCAAATTGCAACACCAAAAGGCTATCCAATGGAAATATTTTAAATACTCCCTGAACTTCCTGACATAATTATCCTTATTGTTTTACATGAATACCAGGATTGCCCATACATGCCTCCAGCCTAAGAAAACCCCACAGTAAATTAGCAAACTAAAGCGAAGCAGAAATACCACAGTAAATTATGAGGCACTCCATATATTTAATCCAAAATCAGAAGAGTTTCTAAATCATGTTAAAACTTTGAGGCTACTCCAAGTATCAATACAAAATTTCGGGGTGTCTCATTTATAGGTTACTATCTTTTTTTTAATTAGTATATATAGGTTACTATCTTACAAGGATGCCCTTAAAAAAATTCATAATACACATAAGTGATACCACCTTCTACATTCCAAGTCCATAGCTGGAGAAAACTACTTTGATACTTACACATAGTTATTAAATTCACACAGCAAACTTGTTCAAATAAGGTTACTTCCATAAAATATTTATAAAACAATGTACCAAGAAATAACAAAATAACATGTTATTTCTTGTCATATCTAAACTACCAAAGAGAACTCTCTTAAGATTTTCAGGATGAGAAGAAATGAATCAGAATTTATGAATTGTTGCATCACAATTTCTAATGCCAGAAAACATCAACTCCCTTCTGGGATGAGTATGATGACAAAATTTTGCATTGCATATGTTGGATCAGCTAGGGAGAAAAAAAAAAAAAAAGGCTATTTAATATGTTTCTATTTTATAAGTAACCATATTCATAGACCTTATTAAATGGTTTTCTAAATAAGTTTAGAAAGAAAGTAGTTCAACTTCAAAACATGAAATAAAAAATTGATCATTCTTCTTAACTAGTGGGAAACAGGAATTAAATGGAAACTAATGGAGGGCTTATAGCTTAAATTCAAAATTACATTACAGTATCCATCTTTCTTTCGCTTGATGTTTGGTCTAGAACTGGATGTGTCCCTAGCTGAATTAAAATTAGGCTTAGGGGGAACAACAGTTGTTTTCGAAATTCACTCAAACAGAAAAAATTTAAAAGTTCTTCGGTAATATAAGCAGTATAAAACACAAACCCATCATTCAGTTGTAGTTTTATAAACAAAGTTAGTTAGACAATTACACAGATTTAAATAAAACAATGATTAAAGGGGTAGAAAATTCTGGATTAAATGACAATATGTCAAACTCAAGTATATAGAAAATACACATCAATATGCAAATGAGAACCACAATAAAAAGTGGCCGCTCTAAGTAGCGTTAAACCAATAAAATAAGAGAACAGAAAATATAAAAGAAAAGACAGACAAAGCTAGTAAATTCATTAGGTTAATTATAAAGAAAAAATGGAGAGAAGAGAAGGAAAGGGAAAGGATAAGAATCACCTATGCATTCATTAAGTACTTGCATCTGAGGCTGAAATGTTTTACATTTTTGGGTCTCTAAATGATATCACTTTTATGGTGATAATCTTTGTGGCCCTTTATTATGTGAATCAACCCATTGAAAAGGAAAGATTTTTAAAAGTGTCTCTTCTCTTTTCTTCTCTTCCATTCCCTTTCCCTAAGCAAACAGAATGTTATGGTTATATTGTTTTCATTCTCGAATACAAACCTGGTTTAGCATCAAAGTTGGGGGACCTTGACCTCTTCTTCACTTGTTCCAAAATTTCTATTCTCCTAAGTCCTAACCCTCCAATTGACTGTTTGCTTCATATAACACAACTTGCTATTTCGTGATTCATAAACTTCATAGGAAGATGAAATAGGGATAAAAGTATAGTGTATCATAACCAAACAAGAAGCACAGGGCAACAGTATTTGCAAAGAAAGTGAAAGGTTGAGACACTGCTTAAGGTTTCAAAAGCAAGGCTAGAGAAAGGGTCATTACCCCATTTGGTCCCCACTAATTTAGGGTGTCAAGAAGGGCAGACTGGATACAAATTTAGTTGTTGGGTCAATAGGACTTAGGTTGGCAAATTGCCTGTCAGAGACTTGAGTTTGTAATCTTCTTTTTTTATTTTCATTAGAATTTTGAATGTTAGTTACCTCTTGTCCCATGACAGAATCGAATTAAAGCTATATTAGTATAATTTGATTCTTTAAAATCTTTTTTGATATGCTTATCTATGTTTTTGGAAACATTTTTTTTAAAAAAAAATTAAGTATAGCAATGAAAGGAATTTCAACTGATCAAAGAATCTGTGAAAGGTTACTAGACTAATGTCAATCGATCGACACACTGCTTGATCAATCAAATTATGCGAACTGAGTTTTCTTTTACACTGCTTGATCAATCAAATTATGCAAACTCCGAGTTTTCTTTCGGGACTATGCCTTATTTAAAGACTTAGTGCAAGCACCATATACACTCTCTAGCATAAACAGAGCTTATTGAGTTCATTCTAGCAAGTCTCTGCTGGAAATTTGTTTGTTTTTCAGTCATAGTTCATATAAAATGGTGAGCGATTATATGATGTGTTGAATATCGGTCGGTTCTGAGACTATAACAAGTTCATCACAAGAGGAGCAATCCAACGATGATCAGAATTGGACAACTGGACAAGAGATCAAATTGCTTGTTGAGGACAAAGTTCAATAAGAAGAAGACATGCTGACAGAGCATACTGAAGGTCTAAAGACTCGAGTAAAGAATTTGGCGTTAGTCCGTCTCAAGAAGTTACAAGGGCTTTCTAGGGTTTGGAAACTGTAAATCTAGTTGTGTATATCTCTCTCATATAGTGAATTTGATCTCACTGGACTATGTCACATGGTTTTTCCCTTGGGGTTTCCACCAAACAAAATATAACTGTTCATTATGCTTCTACTTTTACTATTTTGACTTCATATATATTAATTGTTTGAAAGGTTGGATGCTTAATGGATTGAGTGGATTGCCTCTTAGTTTGCTAGTTTAATTTTTGGATAGTTGTTAATCCAATTAGAATTTGAGAATTAACTAGCTTTCAAGACATATTCAACCCCCTCTAGGTGTAGATCACAAACCTTGTGCAACTCTACCCCAGAGCTCGAGTCCCCCCACACCCCAAAAAAATAAAAATAAATAAATAAATAAAACTAGTATATGGCATTTGAAGGGTATAACAAACCAAACATTGAATCATTGGCAGAATATTCTTGTCGTGCAAAGACAAGGTGCCAAAGCAACTCAACTTTGTCCCCATCTAAACTAAGTATTCCCAAAATAATTGAACTGAATGATTCCAAAACCTAGTTTGTCATTTGGTTATTATATCCCCATAGTGAAAATACACAATAGAAACATGTAAGGCATAGTTAAATCATCAAAAAAGTTACTCAAAACATTGACTAAGAAGACTGTTTAGGCGCAAAGTTGACAAGGTGGAATAGTCAAGTTAGGACAATAACTTAGAATAGTCAATTAAGACAATATTTAACACGTAACACGTAGGGAAAACATAAGAACAGAGCTCTAATCATTAAAAAATATATATACATAAAAATAAAATATCAATAAAAAATAATAATAATAAAAATAAATAAAAAAAGAAATTGATGGTTAATTTTGGGCACTCTCCAAATTACTGCACACCAATCTGACTTAGATGATGATGTGATGATGATGGGCCATACAATCAAAATTGTCAAGAAGTTTGGTAATAATATTGTACTGTTTACATTTAATCAGTCAAAGAAAAAGCCATTGCATCAAAACAACCTCAAAGGTCTAAAATATATATAAATGTATGCATTCGTATATATACACAACAGTATATGACTAACTTTTATGTGTCTATATATTTTTATGTTTATAGTTATAATCTTTGTAGATTTGCCCATTTTTCATGAACACAATAAAAATCAAAATTACCAAAAAGAAGGGAAAAAAAATTTGGAGAGAGAAATTCTAGAGAGAGAGTTGAAGAAGTGTATACGCACTTTCAGGGCCACCGAGCTGAGTGACAGCATCGACAAATCTTTCATGGAGCTCCGTGGTCCACCGGAGTCGGGGTTTCGGATCCGTCGTCAACACCAAGCACCCATCATCCGCCAGGTTCGCCCCATCAAGCCCCACACTAGTATCAACTAGCGGAAGGGAATGCAACGACGAGTACATTTTCCTGGAAAATCCCACCAAATATTTACCGAGAAAGTGGCAGAAATTTACGCGAATTGGAAAACTGAAGAACGGGCTGTGACCGTAGGGCGAAAAAGGGTTACCCGAACTTTCGGGGGTCGGAGTCCCGAAACTGTTGAGAGCTGGGAACGAAGTCAGTGGCCTGAAAATGGTATTACAACTTACAAGTGCTCATATATTGGGGAAGAAAAGAGAGAGAAAGCAAAGACATGCATAAATTGGAGGGGAGAGAGAGAGAGACAGCGATGTCTTGTCGTCTCTCTGTCGACTCTCTCGCTGCACTCCTCTTGCTCTCAATGTACCACTTTTTTTCTCTCTCTCATCCGTGTAAGTTACAAATAAGAGCCTAATTGTTTGGTTGTTATGAGAATTGTTTTCGAGGAAAAAAATAAAAAATACACTAAATAGGGTGAATTTGGTATGTGAAAAAATAGTAAGGTAAATCTCACTTATTCAATATTTTATACAAATTCCCTCTATATTTTATAATTTCACGTGCATCATATGTATCCACTTTTTTTTATCATTTTACTCATTAAATGTTTATTGACATTTCAAACATTAGAAAAACAAAATCGACAAATAGGCAAGAATTTGTTATATAAGTCAGAACCTTAAAGAATGTAAGTAAAATTATAAAATATAAAAAGAATTTATGTGAGATATTAATAAATTTCGGAGAAGGTAAATAAAATTTACCCAAAATACTAACCCGAAAAGATTGATACTAATGAAAATGTTGACATTGATGATTGTAGTAACCGAAAAAATTTGGTTTGCTGACCAAAGTAGAGAGAAAAAATAGAAATAATATGATTAAACAAGATAAAACAAATTTAGGTGGAACAATATAAATCCATCTAGGGATGGTGATAGGGAAAAATATAAACCTACCCTATCCTCGATAAGATTGATTAGATTTCATTATCAAGGATAATGAAATCAAATCTGACGTGATTCAACAGGTAAGAATAATCCTACTATAACTTGAGGAGGTTAAAAGGATTAAATCATATCCCGACAAATTTGGTAATCTCCTATGATTTCGCACAAGCGGAAGATAAGGTCAACCATCGACATCAGCGGAATGATTTTGATTCCAATCGACAGCCATAAATAGGGCATCAAGCCATTAAAGAAGGTACGACGTAAAAACTATTATTAATCTCTGCCTTCTTTTTAGACCTCCGTGACTAATTTGATCGTCGGAGAGCTCTTGGCAAGCACCACACCAGTGCCGTCAAGGTTCATCGATCTTCTCCTCTCTGTCTTGCAGGAAAACGGTATCATATCGGACTGCGCGAATTTCAGTCTCAACAGTTAGCGCCGTCTGTGGGAATGATGATTCCCTTGAATCAATTAATTACTCGTTGGGTATATACGTTTGCAGTCCGGTATGGTTACCGAAGGAACACCGTCGCAGGGATCTGGTCAAATGGTAGAGTTGGGTGAAAACCTGGACGTCCCAAACGACCAGGCACGGCTTGCAGCGTTGGAACTACAAGTTCAAACTCTGAGTTAGGGTATGAACCAATTGATCCAGCAAAATGCAAAGCTCTTGCAACATCTTGTTCCACCGGTTCAACAAAACTTTCCAGGACAAGATCTCTCAAGTCCAAACGGAGGTAATGGGAATCTTGAAGAGAGGGATAATCATTCCCCCCAAAATGAGACTGAAGTGGAACAAAGCCAGGTGGGAACCCGACATAGAAAGGTGGTTCACCCATCTCTCCTACGGAGTTCCCGACCTCCTGAAAGCATAGCCTTCTGTCTTAAGGAAAAGACAAAGAAAGTTACCCATCTCGACTTGCAGATCAAGGATCTCAAGGGGAAAATGGAAGATGTAATGCAGGCTATGAAAGAGAAAGGTCATGCAGCCGTAGATGACCTGATACAAAGGACCAACTTGCCTTTCAGCCCCGCCGTTATGAAATGTCCACTACCTACCAAGTTCAGGATGCCCTCGTTCGAAAGCTTCAATGGGACCAAAGATCCCCTCGATCACCTGGAAACTTTTCAAGCTCTTATGCATTTACACGCTGTACTAGATGAAATCATGTGCCGAGTTTTTCCCACTACACTTAAGGGATCAGTGAGAGTTTGGTTCAACAAGTTGAAGCCAGGAACCATTAACACCTTCGAAGAATTGAGTAAGCAGTTTGTGAGCCACTTCATTGCAGGTCAGAGGCATAGGAGGCCGGCTACCTACCTGTTTACCGTGGAGCAACAAAAGGAAGAGTCGATTCGGGAATACATTACCCGATTCAACGCAGAGATGTTGTAGGTAGAAGAGGCGGACGACAAGGTACCTTTGACCGCTTTCATAGGAGGACTCCAAACCTCCAGATTCTTGTTCTCCTTATCAAAAAAACCTCCCACCAGCATGATAGAGTTGCTGGTCAGAGCGCAAAAACACATCAACGCTGAAGACACCATGAGTGCACGGAAGGAAGGAGAGGACAAGAAGAGGCCAGCCCCTCTCGCCAGGGATGAAAATAATACCAAATATAAGAAATCGTTCTTCAGCCAGAGTGACAGCACATATCATGAGAATGACTCAGATGAGTATACCGACTAGAAATTATCTCGCGGCTGGAATTAGCCTTATCAAGTCATTCACAATAAAGATTGGGGGCATCTTAGTTAATCATTTTAAATGGAGGGTAGCTCCATCACGTGTTATTTTGTTTTTAATAATGATGGTCTTTAATAAAATTCTTTTTAGTTTATACGTGTAGTATCCCCGTACTATAAGGGATAGTAAATGAGTGTCATGTATTACAAGGACCCGAGCTGAGTGAATCCCGTAATCCGTATCCCCGTACTATAAGGGATAGTAAATGAGTGTCCTGTATTACAAGGACCCGGGCTGAATGAATCCCGTAATCCGTATCCCCGTACTATAAGGGAATAGTAAATGAGTGTCCTGTATTACAAAGACCCGGGCTGAATGAATCCCGTCATCCATATCCCCGAACTATAGGGGATAAGTATCCTGTATTATTAGGACCCGGGTTGAATGAATCCCGTAATCCATATCCCCGTAATATAAGGGATAATAAATGAATGTCATGTACTACAAGGACCTGGGTTGGATGAATCCCGTAATTAATATCCCCTTACAATAAGGGATAGTAAATAAAAATCCCTTACTAAAGGGACGAGCTGAGTAAAACTCATAAAGTTCAATTACCTTACTAAAGGGACGAGCTGAGTAAAACTCGTAAAGTTCAATTCCCTTATTAAGGAGTGAAACTCATATAATTTATTCCCTTATCAAAGGAAGAGTACTGTTCACAGGGGTATAAAAAAAAAAATAATAAAAATAAAAATAAAAATAAAAAAATTCCCTGAGTTACTATTTGCGTGAATAGTACCCGCGGGTACTATTCACCGGGGTTAAAAAAAAAAAAATTATTATTATTATTTATTACATTCCCAAAGCTAGACGTGCAAGCTTGGGAATGGGGGGCAACTGATAGGGAAAAATATAAATCTACCCTACCCTCGATAAGATTGATTAGATTTCATTATCAAGGATAATGAAATCAAATCTGACGTGGTTCAACAGGTAAGAATAATCCTACTATAACTGGAGGAGGTCAAAAGGATTAAATCATATCCCGACAAATCTGGTAATAAATCTCCTATGATTTCGCACAAACGGAAGATAAGGTCAACCATCGACATCAGCGGAACGATTTTGATTCCAATCGACAGCCATAAATAGGGCATCAAGCCATTAAAGAAGGTACGACGTAAAAACTATTATTAATCTCTGCCTTCTTTTTAGACATTCGTGACTAATTTGATCGTCGGAGAGCTCGTGGCAGGCACCACACCGGTTCCGTCAAGGTTCATCGATCTTCTCCTCTCTTCCTTACAGGAAAACGGTATCGTATCAAACTGCGCAAATTTCAGCCTCAACAGATGGCAATGAGGCAGGAAATGTCATCACATCCCTATTCTCATTTAGAGTAGTTATTTTCATCCCTACCCTAAAACCGTTTATTAAATAGGGAGGGATGGGGACAGAGGCATATTTTGTAAAGTATTTTCATAATTATAATATGAATTTAACGAAAGTAAATAATAAAATAAATTTTCAACTATGATCGTAATTTTTTAAAAAATAAGATTCTTCTTAATTGAAACTTAAGACTAAAGTTATTGTTGGAACATCAAAATAATACATTGAATTTCTCAAATAAGAATAATACAAAAGATATTTACTAATACCAACGTGTCAGTGGCATAGAGGTATCAGTCTCTTACTTTTTAAAGGGAGGTCAGGGTTTCAAGTCTAAGAAGAGACATGTGTGTACCAACTAGGAATATATATATATATATATATTAATTGGAATAGAATAATTTATCATTATAAACGGATTGGGTTGAAGCATGGTCGAAATATTTAGAAATGGTTTTAAAATTTTAAATATTAGAGGGGACACGAAGAAAAAAAAAAAAAAATGAATTTACTTGGTGGATACAATTCGTCTGTGAAAAAAGCAATGGTGATGATATTGTAAAGAATAATATTAATCAAGTCAACTAAACTTGTGGATCACCATTTTCAATTTGCATTAATAAGAATCTTTTCAATTGCCAAATTAGTAATTATGGAACTCAAATCGCAAAAGAATCATGACTTTTTGAACGTAATAAGAATTATAACCTTTCACTATTCATAATTCCTTGAAAATAATTATAAGAAACTATAAACTTCCAGTATTCATACTTCGGGATAAAATTATACCTAAGCCCTAATTGCGCTATGACTAAAATGCCCCCTTACATTAAATTATCTACCATCTCTACCATCTATCATCTCTTTCAAATAGTGAGAAGTCTCACAGCACAGACCTACTGTAGAGCCAGTGAGGGCAGTTGTCCCTATTAATTTTTTTTTTTTTTTAGTATTATATATTAGTAATTTTTCTTTATTTGAATTATATATTAATGAAATTTTAATATTCCATCCCACTAAAATTATTTTAAAAAAAAATAAAAAAATTACTTTTGTTCCCTTACATAATTTTTTTAATCCATCCCTATCCACTATTATCCCTTTAAGATAGCTTGATTCCTTAATCTTTACTTGAAAAGTAAAGTAAATTTCATCAAAGCTACCCAATACAATTCTTTTAAGAGAAAGGCTAAAGGTACTCTCACATTAACACACACGCTCTTGATAGGACTTAACTCAAGCTTTCATCAATGACAAAGACAGTATTAATATTAGGGTGTTCGGTCACTAAGAAGAGGTGGTCCAAGGAGTGATGCCATTAGAATCCAAGGG